GTGGGGCCGCTGAGTGAGCGGTGCTGTCAGCTGCTCACTGAGATGTGACACTCGGGGACTCTGGCTGGGGCCTCTCTTTGCTGCCTCTGATGCCTGGATGAAAATGCCAAATCTGTTTGAGATGGAGATGTGTTTTCTCCTTGCAGGGCCACAGGGCTATGCCATCTGTGAGCGGTCCTCCCTCCTCCCGCCACAGACTCTGCCCCCAGGATGTCCCTGTCCCTGAAGTCCCTGTTCTTGCCCCCCTGGCCTCCTGCCTCTTGCTTTGCGTCTCCCTCTGCCCTCCCCTTGCTGATCCAGCTCCTCTAACGCTTCCCTCTCCTCTCCTTTCCTGGGCTCCCTGCCTCTTGTAGGCTCCTGCAGGCCTCATTCAAGCCCTTCCAGTTTGCTGCTGGGACAGCCCCATTACAGGGATGCCCCCCAAGCTCAGGTGCACCTGGAACCTCAGAATGGGGCCGTGTTTGGAAATTGAGTCTCACAGATGTTATCAAGTGGAGATGTGGTCATCTGGGTGGCCCTTAAGTCACTATGACTGGTGTCCTCCTCAGAAGGGGGGGATTTGGGCACAGAGACCCATACACCAGGGACAAAGCCACACGAAGACAGAGACAGACATTGGAGCAATGCCTTGGGAAGTCAAGGATTCCAGGGACCACCCCATGAGTGGACTTCTGGCCCCTGGAACTGTGAGAGAAGCAATTCTTGTTGGTCAAGCTGCCCAACAAGCAGAGACGCACGCAGGTCAGGGAGAAAGCAGAGCCAGATGGAGCCATCCGAGGCCACTGTGAAAGCCAGGTGGGTGTAAGGAGACAGCGGAGGCTCAGGGAGACCCCAGGGCGGAGCCGAGGAGGGCCCCTGGGGGCCAGCCGGTAAACCTGGAGAGGGCTGTCTTAGCAGAGCTGCCAGCAGACAGGGCGGCACAGAGGACGGATGGGGGACACACATAAAGATACACACACACATGCCCATGCACTGGCACACAGACAGCAAGCCTGACCAGTGACCACATCAGGGCAGGCTGAGCAGTGGGCTGCGGCTGGTGGGGCCACGGGAGGTGAGCAAAGGAGAGGGGTGAGGTGGAACAGCAGGACTGAAGATGCAGGGGTAGGGGTGTTGGGAGTTCACATGGGGGTCCCCTTGGAAAGGAGGAGGTGGTCAGTCAGGAGCGGATGAGGAGAGATGTTCTGGGAGGGCAGGGTCCTGGGGAGGCGCTCTCTTCAGAAAAGCTGGAGGCAAGGTCATCTGCAGAGTGTTTGAGGGGGGACGGGGCCACCTGCAGGCTCCCCAAGAGAATAGGGGAGAATGGCTGCTCTGAAAGGGTGCTGGGCCAAACTGGAACCTCCACAACCTCTATACTCTCCCTGGCCAAGACCTGCACCCTGGAAGCCAAGGGGATGCGGCAGAGCTCGGGACTGGGGCCTGGACAAGGTCCAAGGGGCTGAGCACCTGGCTGTCACCGGTACAGGCTGGAAGTGGCCCTGTGCTCACCCTGCTCTCCCTGCCTGTTTGGGTCCCACACTGCCCAAAGAGCTCTGATATGAAAAGTCAGAACTGAGCAGGTGAGTGCTGGCTGCATGTGTGTGCATCTGCCTATATGTGTGTGAGTATGCACAATGTTCTGTGTATATGTGCATGTGTTTGCACATGGGCACTGTATGTGTGTCAGTGTGCACACATGCTCTCTAAGTACATGCGTCTGTACACATGCATGGTCTGTATGTGCATGAATGTGCACCTAAGGTGCCCAAGGGACTGTCACCTCCCTGGCATCACCTCCAGGTGGTAGTGTGTGGTGATTTCCATTTTCCTCCTTTTTCTTTTGTGCTTTTAAATTTAATTTACCACCTCCAGGCACTTTTTCCCACAAACAAAAGGCAGTTGTAGCCCGCCTGCTCAGCACCCAGCACGCGGACTGAGCGGCCTGCGGAACCCTCCTGGCTGTGCAGATTACTGCAAGCCCGGCCCTAGGGATGCTTCTTTGAGCCTCCAGGTCCTGGGGTGCTCGTGAACTCAGAGGAGGTGCAGTCAGCATCACCTTGAATGCAATGACCCCCCTCCAGCCTTTCCAGCTGAAAATGCCCCTTCCTTGAGAAAACGGGTATCCCCGGGGGGGACTCTGCGTCTTCCCTGCCGCGCCCACTGGCCCACCCTGCATTGCTGCCCAGGTCTCATTCCTTCTTGCTCATCCCTGCTCTCTGCCCTCTGCCTCCTCTCTCGTCTGCAGATCCCGTCCCAGGCTCACACCTCTGGCAGTCTCCTCCTGCTACCACCCCCCCAGCTGCCCTGGTCCTCTGCTCCCCCTCCTGCTCATTCAGTTTGCCTGGGGTGGCATCTGGGCACTGGGGTTTGCTAAGAGTTCCTCAGGTGACATCCCGTGTAGCCAGCGTGACCCACCAAGCTCGCAGCTGTCCAGAAATCTCACCCATCATTGCCTTAATCAGTGACATGCTGGTAAATGTTTAATAATCAGCTTGGGGTGTGGGGATAAAAAGCCTGATTTACATCATTCACCAATTCCCGTGGTGTAAATATTCCCACCATACCCACTTTCAAGCTGCTGTTGAGAAGTTTATCAGCTGGAGGTGGGGCCACGGGAGGTGAGCAAAGGAGAGGGGTGAGGTGGAACAGCAGGACTGAAGATGCAGGGGTAGGGGTATTGGGAGTTCACATGGGGGTCCCCTTGGAAAGGAGGAGGTGGCCAGTCAGGAGCGGATGAGGAGAGATGTTCTGGGAGGGCAGGGTCCTGGGGAGGCGCTCTCTTCAGAAAAGCTGGAGGCAAGGTCATCTGCAGAGTGTTTGAGGGGGGACGGGGCCACCTGCAGGCTCCCCAAGAGAATAGGGGAGAATGGCTGCTCTGAAAGGGTGCTGGGCCAAACTGGAACCTCCACAACCTCTATACTCTCCCTGGCCAAGACCTGCACCCTGGAAGCCAAGGGGATGCGGCAGAGCTCGGGACTGGGGCCTGGACAAGGTCCAAGGGGCTGAGCACCTGGCTGTCACCGGTACAGGCTGGAAGTGGCCCTGTGCTCACCCTGCTCTCCCTGCCTGTTTGGGTCCCACACTGCCCAAAGAGCTCTGATATGAAAAGTCAGAACTGAGCAGGTGAGTGCTGGCTGCATGTGTGTGCATCTGCCTATATGTGTGTGAGTATGCACAATGTTCTGTGTATATGTGCATGTGTTTGCACATGGGCACTGTATGTGTGTCAGTGTGCACACATGCTCTCTAAGTACATGCGTCTGTACACATGCATGGTCTGTATGTGCATGAATGTGCACCTAAGGTGCCCAAGGGACTGTCACCTCCCTGGCATCACCTCCAGGTGGTAGTGTGTGGTGATTTCCATTTTCCTCCTTTTTCTTTTGTGCTTTTAAATTTAATTTACCACCTCCAGGCACTTTTTCCCACAAACAAAAGGCAGTTGTAGCCCGCCTGCTCAGCACCCAGCACGCGGACTGAGCGGCCTGCGGAACCCTCCTGGCTGTGCAGATTACTGCAAGCCCGGCCCTAGGGATGCTTCTTTGAGCCTCCAGGTCCTGGGGTGCTCGTGAACTCAGAGGAGGTGCAGTCAGCATCACCTTGAATGCAATGACCCCCCTCCAGCCTTTCCAGCTGAAAATGCCCCTTCCTTGAGAAAACGGGTATCCCCGGGGGGGACTCTGCGTCTTCCCTGCCGCGCCCACTGGCCCACCCTGCATTGCTGCCCAGGTCTCATTCCTTCTTGCTCATCCCTGCTCTCTGCCCTCTGCCTCCTCTCTCGTCTGCAGATCCCGTCCCAGGCTCACACCTCTGGCAGTCTCCTCCTGCTACCACCCCCCCAGCTGCCCTGGTCCTCTGCTCCCCCTCCTGCTCATTCAGTTTGCCTGGGGTGGCATCTGGGCACTGGGGTTTGCTAAGAGTTCCTCAGGTGACATCCCGTGTAGCCAGCGTGACCCACCAAGCTCGCAGCTGTCCAGAAATCTCACCCATCATTGCCTTAATCAGTGACATGCTGGTAAATGTTTAATAATCAGCTTGGGGTGTGGGGATAAAAAGCCTGATTTACATCATTCACCAATTCCCGTGGTGTAAATATTCCCACCATACCCACTTTCAAGCTGCTGTTGAGAAGTTTATCAGCTGGTGAAATTCCTGAAGTTTAACCTGTGGGGAGTATCTCCCTGTGGCCTGGCTTTACCCTGAGCTGGCTCACCCATCCATCTAGACCTGGTTAGTGATGGATGTACATCAGCTTTGCTATCTACGCCGAAGGGAAGGAAGAGGCCACTTGCATAGAGGGACTGCTGAGGCAGACAAGGGCGCCCCCGTTTACAGTTTTATGAAACACTTTAACGATCTCATCTAATCCCCTCTATAGCCATAAGCAGAGCAAGTAACACCTTCTCTTTACCAAGGAGGAAATCAAGGTGCAAGGCTAAAGTGATATGCCCAAGACTGCACAGCACAGGGGTCACAGGGCCACACCAGGGCCCAGTGCTCAGGTGCCAGCCCAGGGCCACCCCCACCTCCTGAAGAACTCTTGCTAGCTCGGCACATGGCCGATTCTGTCTCAGCCCTGCCCTGACCCGGGCCTCCTTTCTGGAACCTCTTTGCCCAGTGTGCGGCCTGGCACTCGGCCTCCGCTGCAGAGAGCAGGGCAGGTCCCAGACTTGTTTGGCACTCAGATGTGGCCAAGCAGAGGCAGCCTTGGGCATCTGCAGCTGGGAGTGACACAGAACCTCTCTGATCTCGGGGGTGGGTGCGCCAGTGGCATCCCATGGGTGTCACTCAGGGCGTGTGAGAGGCAGAGGTGGCAGGATGCAGAGCTTGCTGAGCAAGCCGTGGTCGGCTCCAAGTGCTCTCGGGCCAGTGGCTCCAGAGGGGTGCTGGGTCCCTCCCTGGGGAGGCAGGCCTGCTTGGTGGCACCCAGGGAGTCATTCGGCAGCCGAGGCGCAGCCTACTTCTCCAGCCCTCCCAAGGACTCTGGGAGTTCCTCATTGCATTTTCTGCTGCAAGTAGCCGGAGTGCCTTCTGTTGTCTCCATCTGAACCCTGACTGACACACCTCCAACCTTGGGGACCTCCAGTCTTACCTGATGCAGGATTCCACCTGGGGCCCCCAGCTCCACGGCGCATGTCCACATCCCTTCATCATAGTGAGATGTGGTGGTACAGATAAAAAATATTGTCAGCTCTGAGCGGGAACCTGGCAAAAGTGCGGTCACCACCACCGTGGAGAATTCAGAGTGAGGAGAGCCACCTGCGCGGGACACCCGGCCGAGGAGGCCGGGACGGCGTGGGGCTGTGCCTCACGGGCCCCCACTTCTCTCACAGGAGAGCAGCTGTGCCCTCGCTCTGGGCCTGTGGACTCGAACTTCACACACAGTCTTAACCATGGAGTTCGCAGAGGGTCAGAGGAAAGCATGGATGTCAGAATGTGCAGACGGCGGTGAGTAATGACAGCTGACAGTGAGGGAGGAAACTGGGAACTGTGGGGGAAACTGGAGACTCTAAAAACAAAAAGAGCAAGGCTGGGAAGGGGCCGGGAGGAGGGGCAGGGGCCGGGGCTGGGGCCACCGCATGACCTCCTCCCTCCCCGTGTCCCCGTGGGCCCCCGGCCATCAGCACCTGGGCTCAGTCTTCATGTCCTGTGGACACCGCAACTCAGAGTGTCCAGGACAGGGTAAAGTGTGGGGGTGCACAGAGCTGGGGACGCACATACCATAGAAAGTATAAGACGTCCTGGGGGAGTGGATGTTTGAACGGTTCTTGCACTCACCCCTTCACAACGCCACAGTGATTTGCAAAAATTCTCCATGTAAGTTTTAAATATATTTTTATCAAGTAATACACATGTACTGCAAAATGTTGAGAGATTTTTTAAAAAGCAAAAATAAGAAATAAAAATTATTGTCTGTCAGCCCGTGATCCCAGGGTGGCCCCTGCCGGCCTCTGGGGGCTGCCCTTCTCTTCCGTCTTGTGCGTCTGTCTGTCTCTGTCTGTCTGGCACAGTCGGTGTCTGTTTCCGGGTGGCTCTCCCTCTATGCAGATATACATAAAAATTTCAAAACCAGTAATGATGACAGTGTATTTATAGATTTGTATCCATGTCTCACCTAATTTTCTTATCTTGCCTTCTGCCATCAGGGGATTTAAAGAACCAAAACCAACCCCCCTGTTACTGGATTTCCTTCCATTAAGATTGCCAGATTTCACAAATAAAAATACAGAACACCCAGTTAAATCTGAATTTCAGATAAACAATGACATTCAAATTTGACTGTGTCCTGTGTTTCATCCGGGAGCCTTTCCTTCTGGGTGTGAGCGGCTCCTGACGCTGCAGGGGTTCGGAGATCTCCGGCTCCTTGACAGAGCCTGCCCACGCCTGGAGGGACTGGTTCTGTGCACACTGTCCCTGACGCGGGGGGAGGCTCTGCTCTGGCCTCGCGCCCTGTGACCTGCCAGGCACCAGGCCAGGTGTTTCATGGGTGTGCTCCTGTGACCCTCACAAGAGCTGTGAACTCGTTTTGCAGAAAAGGAAGTAATTGCCCAACAATTCTCAGCCAGGAAGGGGACTTGGGTCCAGGTCTGCCCGACTGGGGTCCCCCTTCCTTGGAACCAAGAGATTTAGAGGCAGCTAAGCCAGGCAGCCAGCAAGTGGGGCCCAGGAGACCTAGACCAGGCTTTGGGGTGACGATGCCACATTCCCTGGGGAGCCCCCCTCCCTGGGATATCAGGCTTGGGTTTCTGAGCAGTGGGGAGGCCTCTGGAGACAGCAAAGAAGCCAGGGCAGCTGGACCAAAAGCCACTGACTGCCCTCAGGGTTCAGGGCTTTTGAATTGCTGGCAACAATTTCTTCTGAGCCCTCAAGGGCTTATTTAAAAGGAGTTAAAGTGCCCAGCCCCTGGTGGGAGAGGTTAAGTAGCAGGAATGGAGGATTAAGTGCTGGCTTGGGGATGGGCGGCCTTTGGAAGTCTCTGGTATTGGCCTTTGGGCCCCGTTCTCCCTTGCCCCCTGAAGCCCCTCACCCACTTCCCCCACGAGGCAGACTCCCAGTATTTGTCCCTTTCTCTCTTGTCCTGTGGATCATCTGCAGAGAGGCAGGTACAGCTGGGCCAGGAAGGCCCGGGATTCTGCGTTCAAAGCCCCTGGGAGACTCCCAGGCAAACCAGCCTCGTCCTTCAGTGCCCTTCCCTGGGACCTGCCACCATCCTACCACCGGGAAGACTGGCCCTGGGGCAGGGCTGAAAGAAGGAAGGGGGGTCACTCCACACCTCCACCCACCCGCCCATCTGCCCGTCCTCCTTCCTTTAGGGAGATGGCCACCCCCTTCCCAGGACGGAGGGTCACAGGCAGCCAGGGGTGGGCGGTGGGGTGGGGTGGGGCTGGGGGCCACTCGCTGAGGGGTCCCTGGCCTGGCAGTGCCTGGAGGTGGGGGCTTTGTTAAAGAGGCAGACGGAGGGGTGTAACTGCCAGCGGCTGCCTCGCGCCACCCCTCAGGCGCACACCGTGCCCTCTGAGCCCTTCAGCCCGGAGGAGCAGGGCAGGAGAATCATCACAGGTTGGAAACCTGGGGCAGATTCTCATCTCGCAGGAGCAGCTGCTGGGGGGCTTTTAATCCAGGGCCTGAGATTGGGGCCTACCCCCTGCAGGGAGTGCCGAGCGCTCAGCGAGAGGGCGTGTGAGCGGCTCTGTGGGAAAACGTGTTCCAGAGAGGTGGTCAGGCCTGTGCTGCAGCACCCAGCACGGGAGGCCGGCGGCTGGGAGCCGTGGGGCGGAGGCCAGTGTGCGGCTGGGCTCCCCTGCTGGCTTCACCCGTGAGAAGGCAGCAGCATCGGCTGGCTGCACCTGCTCCTCACCAGAGGGTGAAGGTGGGGCCCATCTGCACTGGGGACGCGCCCGGCTCACGGCTATGTGGTGCTGCCGGGCAGAAAGGGCCTGCCCGCCCCTGGGATGGCGAGAGGGCGAAGGCTGACAGTGTAGCAAGCGGGGCTGCAGTGGGACTGAGGCAAGGCCTTGCCTCCCGGGCCGCATGTCTCTGGAGGACTGCCAGGGTCTCGAGTGTGTCGGTAAGCGGCTCCCTGGGCCCCGCTGACGCTGAGCGAAGCAAGCAAGGCGCAAGGCTCTGATGCAGCTTGCTGGGCTGGAGAAGGGGGCTTGGTCTGCCTCTGGCCCCCTGCAGCTCTCCCCTTGGGGCAGGGTGGCTTCCCAGGGGCACAGGCACCCTGCCCTCTCCACACTTGGTTTGATGCCCTGCTGTCACTGTCCCGGAATTCATCTTTGAACAAGGGCCCTTCAAACTCACCCACCGGAGGCCAGGGGTGTTACCCCAGGGAAGGCCACCCGGGGCAGGAAGGAAACCAGAGGGGCACACGGCCTGTGACAGACACCCCCTGGAGGGGGCAGTGGAGCCCCAGAGGGTCAGGGGCCTGGTGCGGGGGAAGGAAGCAGGGCTCTGCTGATCTGCCTACCCTGTCCCTTCAGCCTTCGAGGCCCTTGTTATCACCCCCATTTCACACATGGGAAAACAGAGGCTCCAAAGTTTAAGGTTTCAGGTCCAAAATACAGGCGTCTGGCTGGTTGCCCCCGTGTGTTCTGGTTAAGATAGAAACGCTGGGACCCTGCTCCTAGAGGGCCCTACTCAACAGGCCTGGGAAGGGGTCCGAGGTCCATGTTTGTAAAACCCCCAGGTCTGGGGCCTCCTATGGTCTCTGCCAGGGTCACACAGCTGGAAGCCCAACAGGGTCATTGTCTGGACACAGGGCTGTCATTCTGGCTCTGCTAGAGTGCGGCTGCCTCTGGGGTGGGGGTTTGGACAACACAAGGGGAGGACTTCTGGGGGCTGGGGGCTCATTATCCAGTCCCTGCTGAGGCCCAGGCTCCTGCCCAGTTTCCCATTTGCTCCTCCCATGTCCCTCTCAGGCAGGCGTCATCACCCCATTTTACAGATGGGCACATGGAGGCCTTGAAGTGTCCGAGACTGGAGTGGCTCAGGAGGCTCTGGCCTGGAAGCTGGTGGGGTTCCTCACCTGGGCTCACGTACAATCCCGAGGAGCTTATCTAACAGCAGGCCCAGCCGGCCCAGACCGACTGCGTCAGAAGCCAGGGTTTCTATACGAACCGTGCAGGTGGTTCAGACACACCCAGGGCAGCAAATCGTGAGTCCAAGGAGCAGAGATCAGGGCCCCCACCCTGCCCTGGAGGCAGGGGACATTCTCAATGACCCCAGGGTGGGAGTCAGCTGTTTGCCGATCGCCCAGTGCCACCACTTCCACATACCCTTTCTTTTTGCAGAAGACCTGAGGGCCTGGGCCCTGGCACAATTTGGGGCCTGGGTGGGGCCAATGCCCTCGCCTGTGTCTCAGGACACACACACACCCAGCATGCATCTCGGCTCAGGGTGACATCCGCCGAGCACCCCAGGCCTGGATGCTGAGCCTTGGGCAGGCACAGAGTCTGGAAGGCATTGTTCCTGTCCTCACTGGGGGATACAGACCCAAAACGGCAATCCCAGTCTGGCACGGCTGTGGAAAGCCTGGTCCTGTGACCTGTGGCAGTCCTCGGCCTCGGCTGCATGGCCTCAGCAGACCTGCAGAGCTGCTGCCCACCGTCTGGTCCTGGAGCAGTGGGCTTTGGGAGCTTAGCCTTCAGCAGGCACTAATTCTGTGACTTCCACCTGCCAGGCACGGCTGGTCTCCCGTGGTTCCCAGGGGCCACCAGTGCCATGCTACATCCCCCACTGCTGCCCGGGGGCCTTTGGATTTCTCAATGAGTTTTATCTGAGCTGAGTGACCCCCAGGAAGCTGGGCACGTGCTGGAGGGGCGGGTGCACAGGATGGATTCCCAGGGACTTCAGCCAGGCCCTGCTTCTTTCCATTCTTGGAAGATGCCATCAGCCCAGTCCCCTGGCCAGCCCTGGAACCACGGGCCCCAGCTAGACCGGCTCCCAGGGCCTTAGTGATGGCTCTGAAGAAGGGGCAGAGAGGGAAAGGGCTCCCAGACGCTGCTCAGTGTCTGGGTGGATGGGAGCACGGTCCTGGGCCGGGGGGCTGTGGAGGAGTGTGTGGGTGCTGAGGCTCCGAGGGGCTGGCTGACGGGGTGTGGAGCTGGAGGTGGGCTCGGGCTCTTCCCTGGCCTCTAGAGCACGGCTCCTCGTATTTCCACCCAAGGCGGGGAGCCCGCTCAGCACCACGTGTGTGCAACAAGTGGGGTCTCAGAGTCACCCTCGAACACTGGGGGCGGTGGCGAGGGACATATGTGCCTCCCCTTGCGCCCTGCAGGCCGCCGGGGCCAGGCGCCCCTTGGTGATGGCGACTCCCCGTGCAGGTCCCCCTTCTGGCCGCAGCTCCTCTGCTCTTCCTCCCCCTCCACCCACCTGCTCTCTGGCGTCACTCTTTCTGCAAATCAAGCCAACCCTCTTGCAAGCTTTGCTTCTGGGAGAATCCAGGG